CAGTATGCGTACTAGTATTTGTTGAAAGATTAATATTGGTATTAATGTAAAGATTGGCATTAGTAAGTATTAGTAAGAGTATTTGCATTAATACTAAATAAATGAATATGATGGTTTGTGATCGCAGCAATATGTCTGTTGGTATTCTTACACAAACTGTTTGCTGCAGGTCTCACAGCTGGTAAACGAAGCGCACTCACTCGATCTGGGCCCATGTTTTGCGCACTGCTAAAAGTCAAGGCTCAACGGCCGTCTGGTGAGCCAACGGCACTGCAGCACACTGAAGTCACGAGCTCTGCACAGGAAGTTTCACACTCGTGATTTTTCTTTTGGCTCACCACGATCCCTGAGCTGTACTGTGGGTTCGCGGAGCCATGCTGCGAGCTTCAAAGAAAGGTTGCTATCCAGTTTGGTAAGGCCGTCCGCATGCATGAGGTCAGTCGGCACCCAATGGATGTCCTTGGGACTCACCGTTGGCTGGACAGAACGAATGTTCACCAAAGAACGCTTGTCTGTGACGCTCGGGTTCTCTGCCACGATGCAGTCGTAGAGGCTCTTCGCATCGACGGCGTGCTTGGCGTTGAGCTTGCAGCCGACCTGAAACGCCGCCTCGTTGTACAGGAGCTCCGACATGCACATGTTGGTGAAGGCCGCGCGGTCTGCGCCTTCATCGGCAGCAGAAGCCTCGGCTGCCAGTGTGCTTCTGCACACCCGTGTGCTCCTCCCAGACTTCCAGTCCAGAACGGTTGCCCTGGTACGCACTTCAGAAGCTTGGGGCGGTGCAAGTAGAACAAAAACTCCGTACTGTGATTTCAGGCCTGCATTCGCCCACGACGAGTCAGTGTAGGTCACTAGCAGGGAAGCGGTGCTGATGGGCACGTCCTGGTAGACCAGCCCATCCTGGCTTGTGGCCTTCAAGTAGTCGACCGTCTCGTAAAGCCGCCGGAGGTCGGTGAAGGTGGTCTCGGAGCCCTTGTTGGAGAGGCTAACAACCGGTGAGACCTCCGGCCTCGACTGAGAAGCAAGCCACTGCAGCGACCAGAAACACTTCTGAAGTCCTTCCACTCGTCGGGGGTGAGCTTCTCGCTTTGTTTGGCGCGTCCTCGAGGAAGCGTTCCGGAAGACATGCCCTCGATAAACGAGGCCTGGGTCACCTTGAAGAAAAAGCGCTGGTTCCTGGCCACCTTGGTGATCTCTTTTCCGCGAAAGACCCCAGGCTTGCCGACCTCGACGATGGTAACGGAGCCCCAGATGAACATGTTTTTGAGGATGCCCTCGTCGAAGTCCTGGTGGTACGTGCACAAAAAGTCGTCGACGTGAACTATCAGCAAAGCCCTTAAGCGCCCGTGGTCGTCGTTGTAGTAGTAGAGGCACTTGTCAAAGGCGTGCTGCTTGAAGCCATGTTCCAAGGCTCGCTTGCGCACCTTCTTGTTCCACACTCTGGGGGCGTCCGGTAGGCCAAAACAGTTTCCCAGGACCTCGTAGAGTTCAGCGCTGAACGCGCCTGTGGCCAACATGAGGGGGTCCTTCGGAGGGTACATGAAGAGCGGCCCGTCTCTCTCCTCGTGGTTCCGCTCGCGTTGCAAAAACGCCGATTTGGCGTCGGAGATCCAGAGCTTCCAAAACCCTCTTTCTCCGTTGACTTCGCCATTTGCCCCAGCAGCGGCAAAGGCGAGGATGATAGCCTCGCTCAGACGTGAAGGTGTCGGGCTATCTCTTGAGAGCTGGAACATGTCTGGATCCTGGCAGCCAATCAGGACCACACGGCACTTAGCCCGTATCTCTCCGAGCCCCTTGTTCTTGTCTCGGTAGGCTGCCCGGCTCCGCAAAATGCGGCGGGAGAGCTTTCTGTCAGCGAGAACACGTTGAGCTTCGGCCTTGTGAAGAGGTCGAATGCCTTCCCACCGGTGCCAGTTAGCTTCCTCGTCCCTGACGGCGTCGAGGTACTTCTCGTAGCTCTGTGTCGGAAGCTTGACCAGCTCGGCCCATGGGATCTCGCGGTCGAGCTGCTTCAGCTCCTGTCGGGAGAAGCTTCTCTCGTTGGACCCGGTGAGCTTCTCGTCATCGGTGTCTTGGTCTGGCCGAGAACGATCTTCATCAACGCCGGCTTTCTTCATCTCCTCTGTGCGGGTGTCGCTCGCGAGGTAAGCGTTGTAAAAGCCCTCGCGCAGGAAGGGAACCGGCAGGTAGTCACCATCGAAGTTCTCGGGCAAGACGCCCTCGCCGAAGTCGTCAAAGTCGAAGCGGTAGGCCCCGGTCGTGTACAGGGCGTCGGCAGTCCTCTTCTGAGGTAGTAGTGAAGAAGGTGGGTCGGTGTTTTGGCTGCCCCCCGCTAAAGCAGAAGAAGAAGACGAAGGAACAGCCATAGCCGACGAAAGCTGGGTGGCATCAACATCGCCACCCCCCAAGGCATTGCCTTGCTGTGTGACCGTCTCGGTCTCGGGTTCGTGATGGTTGTCGTGGGCCTCGGGTTCCGGAACAGTTCCGCTTGACGGGAGTGCTGGCAAGTTCTCCTGCATCTCTGCAGGGAGGTGGTTGTAGTCAGGTGTTCGGGGCTAAAAGGCGGTGTCTCTGGAACACCCGGGCTGAAAGGCAAAGCTCCTGGCGTTAGTGGGGCCGTCGGTAACAAGAGACCCTCGGCACTGACACTCGTACCTGCGTCACGTTGAGAAGCAGCACCAGGGAGAGCACCAGGAGACTGACTAGCGACACGAGCCCTTCTGCTTGGTGTCCTTGACCGACTCCTCCTGTTCCTAGGCTTTGGAGGTACCGGTGAGCTAGGCAACTGCATGGTAACAGACCGGTTGTCCACGTACTGGTTGACCACCTCCTGGTGTTGCTGCTGCTGAACGTTTGTCTGGTGTTGCTCCTGGTGTTGCTGCTGCTGACTGCTGAACGTTTGTCTGGTGTTGCTCCTGGTGTTGCTGCTGCTGAACGTTTGTTTGCTGTTGCTCCTGGTGTCTGCTGTTGCTGCCGCGCTTCCCCGGAGTAGCCGTTCTCGCCGAAGACGAAGGCAGTCGCAAAGACAAAGGCAGACTCGTAGGTAGGTCACCTCCGACTCGGTCGTCACGATCAGCTGGCAGCTTCCACTTGAAGGTTGTAGTTCCTGTCCAGGCTTGCTCCCATTCTTGACCTTCACCTTCCTGCCGCCAGTTGTCCACAAAAGGCGCGGCGGCGCCCACGGTGATGGTGAACCTTTCGTCGGTGAGGTCCTCGGGGTCGAAGTTGGTATTGTCGGGGATGTAGAGAAACCGTCGAGGAACCTGATGCACTCTCACAGCCTCCTAGCGGTCAAGTCGCCAGTAGTCTCGGTCGGGCTCTGGCAGAGGAGCCGGCACCATGGCCGCCAGCTCCCGAGACACCTCTTCTCTATCTCCGGGAGGCTCCTCGCGCTTGTCGTCCCAGAGGTTGTCCCTGAGGTTCACTTCCGCATCTTTGAGGATTTTGATGTCCTCGGCTGAAGGACACCATTCCTCCCAACCAACTGCCGTACGCACCTGGTTTCCAGCGACCTTGGTCGTGGTGTTGTTGATCTGTATCCAGGCCGATTTCCCGTCAGGGTCCACGGACACAAGCCTTGCCAGCGCCCACGCGCCCTTTTGTGCTGACGTGAGTGCCCGGACCATCTCCAGAAAGCCACCGGCTGGCCTGGTTGCAAGCTCCGAAGGTCCACTTGGTGCCTCGTTTTCCGCAACAAGGCCCGCTTGATGTGGCTGCTCGCGGTGTGCTCGGCCAAAGCTTTCATGGCGTCCGCTCTCAGGATCTCATCACGAAGCGCTTACTGCTCGGGGGAGATCACGAGGCTCATGCAGAGGGTCGCTCAACAGGTCGCCGAGGGGACGCGGAATGCGTCCGAAAACTGCTTGGTAAGGCGACCGTCCGTGGGAGTAGGTGCAGGAGTTCATCGTGAAGGTCGCTGCCACCAAGCATTGGCTCAACTCGTCCTGGGTAGAAACTCCCCCCTCATCCACAAAGCGCTCCACGATGAAGCGCAGCAACGCGTTGCGCCTCTCTATCTTGCCCAGTCGGTGGTGAGCCTCGGCGGGGATCACGTCATGGATGATGCCGTGGCGCACGTGAAATTGGATCACCTCGCCACGAAAAACTCGCCGCCGGGGTCACACCGAAACTTCAAAGGAAGGCCCAGGGGACGATACCACATCTCGAGGAGGTGCTTCAGAATCGTCCCGGGCTCTTGTTGTCAACAACAGTGGCGGTGTGGTAAGAAGTAGCCTCGCAGGCGACTCCTAGAACAGGGAAGTTCTTGCCATCTCTCACCCTGAGGTACACCAAATCTGCTTGAATGACTTCTCCAAAAAACCCATTGAAGTCGCTTGGCAAACTGGAAGGCGGAGGTTGTCGCGGAAGACGGGTGCGCAAACAACTGCCGCACCTAAGCGCATCCAAGCCACTCAAAACCTTGCCGCTCAAATGTCCAGCTGCTGCTAACATCCTCACCAACTCTGCTTCCGACGCATGCGCCATATTCACATGCAATCGTGCTAGCGACGCCTGGAGTTTCGGCTCGACCTTGCCCTCAAACCAGATCTCCGTGTCCATGCCGGGAACCGGAACTCGGCTGGCAAAGCGTCCCGGCAGCTCTTCGGCAACCTCGGCTGGCTCGTCGGTCTTCGTCGGGACGCCATAGAAAAAGATCGCGACCCGGACCGTTTGGGAAAACTCACGGCGCCGAGGTCTTCTGCCTCCAGGGCAAGCTCTCCATCAGTAAGCCTCATCGCTGCCCCACGGTGAGTATAAGGAAACTCCTGTGGCAAGCGGCGCGCTTGAGGTGTCCAGGCGGCTTGCATTCTAGCTATGTCCCAGGGAACCAGCTCACAAACGGCCTTGCACACAGGGTCCCCGGCATTCAAGTAGAACGGCTTCTTGTGCGTGTTGCCGAAGCGGGCCTCGAGGTCATCGAGGACAGTCTTCCATGCCTCGCGGTCCGCGGTCGGTCTGGCGAAGAACACCTCAAACTTTTTCAGAGCAAACCGGCTCGGAAACAAACGATAGGCCTCCTGAGCGATGCCCTCAAGGATCGTGTGGAGGATGCCGTCTTCGTTGAAGTCCTGGCGGTTGCCGTCGAGCTCGGTGCAGTACATCTCCTGCTCGGGGTCCAGGCGTCTGCTAAGTGGCTAAAATCTGCGAGTTGGTCGCCCATCTTCTCTTTCCCCGCACCGGCACGCCTCCACAGGTTTCTGCTCGCCCTCGCAAACCAGTGTGTCCTGCAGGTCGATCGGGTTCTCGTGCTCGGTGTCGGGAAGGCGTGCAAGCTCCATCACAAAGGAAAAGTCGCCCGCCTTGGCTCTGCTCGGCACACACCTGAAACAGCACAGCCGAAGAAATCATCGGCGCATGCACGTCAGAGCTCATCGCATCGGAAGCGGCAGGGCACCTAACGACCACACACGTCGGCTGGAAGTGCGGAATCACCTTCATCACGAAGTCGCCGTCGGCAAGCTCCGGGTCGTTGGTGTCCAAGGGTTGCACCGCGCTCAAGCCGTAGTGGTAGCACAAGTCCACCAGCCGGCCCGCGCCGGCACCAAGCTCAATCACATCCACGCGTGGTTTGCCAGCAACCTCCTTATACGCAGGAAGGGCCTCATAGGCGTCGAGCTCGTTCTGGTAGATCTTCCCGGTCTGCGGAGGAAGCCAGTAATCCACATTCGGGTTCCAGCCTTTAGGCAGTGACCAGTCCCCAGTCGAATTTCTCCTCCTCGTCGGTCTCTTCGGCAATCACCACCGCCGTCGAAGCTATTGCTCCTGCCTTGGGCCGGGCGACGTCCAGCGAAGTGTGGCTCTCCATGATAGCCACTCGCTTGTCCAACTCGGCCACCTCCCTGCGCTTCCGGTCGATCTCGTCCGCCTCGGCCGTCATCTTGTCGATCTCCTCTTGGCTCAGCCGAAGCGGCCCTGTCTCGCCCACGGGCCAGTGAAGCTCTCTCCCGGAAAGTCAAAGCCAAGGGACGGTCGGGATTGATGCCCTAGGGAGGAATCCTGGGTCGTGGCCTTGGCTTGGTCGAAGAGGTCTTGAAGTCCGGTGCCAGTTGTCGAGCCCACAGAGGCCGCGCCGATGAAGTTCCCGAAAGCTGCGGAGGCGGCGGCTGCTGCGAGGAGGGCAGCTCTTCCCAAGCCCCTAGAGCCCATCGCCACCGTGTCCCGCTCATCTCCTGGTGGCCCGGATCGCAGTGGGCGATCTCGGCCGCAAACCGAGGCGCACTGTCTGCAGCATAAACTGCACCAAGGTCATCTCGGCGCGCAGGAGGTACTTCACGAGGTGCCTCCAGCCCACAAGCCGTGGAGGAGGAAGCCGGCTCGTCTCCATCAAGAGCCGCCGTGGTCGAAAGTCCCAAGGGCGTGCACACCAGTTCGAGGTCGGGATCACCTTGATCCAAAACTCTGCTCAGCAACTTCCATGGTGCACGCTCGTCGGGAAAATTGGCAATCGAGATGCACAGGTGACCGTTGATCTTAACAATGGGCACTTCAACGCCAAAAGCTCCGAAATATGCACAACCCTTGGGGAAGTTGAGGATAGCTTGCAGCTTGGACTCAATCATGGACAGGCTGAGCAACAAGGGGATCTCACAGTTCTCCTGCAAAACGCTGGTTCCAAACAAGCAACATGTACTAAGCTGGTAGTCGAAAGCGACAGGCATGTATGCGTGCTCTGAGCTGAACTGCACCGGGCCGAACCCAAACTGAAACCCCTCCTTCTCAGCCCGTGTCTGAACCTTCATCTTGTGCTGGTGCAACAGACGAACATGGCTCTGGGCCACCCGCCACTGCAAACGGTCTTTTGGCAGACTGTGTCCAGCACGGCGAATCCCGCGAAGTCGGCGGGCTGGGTGATAAGCACCTCGGAGACATTATGTGCCACCGGAAGCGCGCTGCGCACGAAGGTCGTGAAAGAGGACCCGTACTCCTCTTCTGGCGGGTCAATGCTCTGCTCCTCGGCCCCTCGGTGCGGACGATCATGACCTTGGAGCCAGCAGACTTGCCTCCTTTGGGCTGGGCCTTGGCCTGGTTCTTCGCATCGCCCTTGCCCTTGCCGGTCTTGGAAACAGGACCCCAGCCCAGTGTCTCAGCTGTCCGCACGCAGAGCAGTTTGAGCGCTTCTTGCGCTCCTCTATATGGAGCTCTTTCCTCCAGAGAACTTTCGCCCGAGCCGGACGCCTTGCAAACGGCGCGCGGTCACAGTCAGCACGCCCGCTGTGTCCATGATGGCCTGGGCCAGGTCCTCCCCGGCATCGTCGCCGTCATCGTCCGGCACCAGCTCGGTCGCCCGGGTCGCCTTCGAAAGTGTCCTGCTCAGCTTCGCCGTCGTCCTCGGGGATGCCTTCCAGACCGTAGGGGGCGTCCTCGGCGAAGTCCTGCGCCTGCTCATACACATGTGAGCCTTTGCCCTTCCGGTCGTACTTGCCGAAGCCCTTGCCCTTAGACCCTTGGGGTTGCCCTTCGGCTCTTGTCGGGAGGCGCTCGGCCTCCGTCGAACTCGCGGGTGTACACGACCCGCAGGGTGCTCCTGTGCTCGGGGAACTGCAGCTGGGCCGCCTCCTTGATCGAGTCAAAGTGCAAGGACTGGCCGGCCCCGATTAGCAGGAGCCGCTGCTGTTCTACGCTCAGCCTCAAGCGCTCGAGCAGGCGAGCACCACGGGCCTCGGAGTCGTACAGAGGTGCAATGTCCACTCCGCAAGACTGCAGGGCCCGTTCCACCCTGTGGTATCTGTTGCAGAAGGCCCGGACGCTCTCGTTGTTGAACCTCGAAATGTGTTCGGAATCATGTATATATTTCCTCTTCTGGTAAATGGCACGAGTCTTCAAGGCGCTGCGGAGGGAATCTAATATAAAATCCACCCCGTCCTTGTGGTTGATCTTGCTGAGGTCCAAGTTCATCTTCGGCTTCCCCCTTCATGCTGACGAACAAGGACATCGCAGCCTCATTCGCCGGGAGGTAGCTCGCAACTTGCAGCTGCCACACTCGAACATTCCTCTCCCAGCGGTCGTAGGCACGCAGATCATCACGATTGTAATGCCACACCGGGGAGATGGTGGCGCGCCGCCCCGGAGCTTGATGCCCTTCTCGGGCCCCTTCCTGCTGTTCCAATCGCCCAAGGAAGAGTCCCGGCCATGCCGCCGGAGGCCACTCAAGTCGTGGAGCACCTTGTCTCGCCAAACCATCTTCTCCAGAATCGTGCCCGGCTGGTTCTCGTGAAAGTCCGTCTTGCCCACCAGGTCACCAGACCGCGGTAGCCCCGAATCGGCTCCTCGAGGTCGTGGTTCTGGAAGGCGCACACCTTGAACACCAGGTCGGGCAGCGCTCGTCGTTGCCGACGGGAAAGGCGGGGAACAGGCTGCAGTGTGTCGGGATCCACGCTGTAGTCGTAGGTCGGCGCCTCAGACTCGGCGCGCTCCGCCGACCATCCATGGTCACCGGGGAAGCTCGGCTGCGTCCGGTGATCTCGCGTGGTCGGGGAAGTCGGCGCCCAAGGTTGCGGCTGGGTGCTTGCAGCGGAAGTCGTGGTCGACGAAGTGGAAGAAGAAGACGAAGGCACGCCCCGGCCACGCCGAGGCACGTACATCCAGACTCCTTGGTCCACCTCGCGCCTGGTTGGGGCATTGCTGTCGTAGAACTCGTTGTGCCCGCAAGCTAAACACACCCATGTGCTCGGCCCTTGCTGCGTAAAGCCACCACCGTCGCAAAGCAAACACCGCCAAGCAGGCGGCTGAGGATCGGGCTCATTCACGCCAAAGTCCTGGTCGGCAGCGCTGGGTTAATACAAATATGAATATTAATGATTTTAGGGGTATTCATCTTGGTATTAGGGCTAGCCTAGTAGTAGTATAAGTATTCATCAGTCGTGGGAAGAGTATTATATTGACCACCCGAAGGCCGAGACCAAAAACCCAAAAAACAAAGCTCCATGGCTGTTGGACCTGTTTTGGTTGTTTGTTTTTTGGTTTTTTGTGTTTGGTATTTTGGTGTTTTGGTATTTTGATTGTTTGCATTTTTGGTTTTGCCGTGGAAAACGTTTTTTTTTCAGGAAACCAAAAGCAAAATACCAAACAAACAACAAACCAAAATACCGAAAAAACAAAAAAACAAAATACCAAAAAACAAAAAATATATCAAAAAAATAAAAATAAACAAAACAGGTTCAACAATCTCTGTGGAGCGGTGTTTCTTTGGGTTTTTGGGCTCGGTCTTCGAGTGGCTCCACAGACACGATCGGAGGGCTCAAGGTCGATCTGCTTCCAACCCTGCAAAAGCAAACCACCTATTCTCGAGCCGAGAGCTCCCAACGCCCCAAAAGCAACCCCCCCATTCTCGAGCCGAAAGGGTGGGGGTTGCTTTCGAGGACTTTCCAAACAGAGGCCGTGTCTGACACAAGAATGCAGCCTGGGACCAAAAAAACAAAAAACCAAAGCTCCACGGAGAATGTTGGCACAGTTTTGTTTTTTTGGTTTTTTGGTTTTTTGGTTCTTTGGTTCTTTGGTCTTTTGGTTTGTTGGTTCTTTGGTTCTTTGGTTTTTTGGTTTTGGTTTTATTGTGGAGAGGGTTATATTTCAAAAAGCCAAAAAACCAAAAAAAACAAAAAAAATAATAACCAAAAAACAAAAAAATCAAATAACCAAAAAAACAACAAAAAACAAAGAACCCAAAAACCAACAAACCAAAACTGTTCCGGCATTCTCCGTCGAGCTTTGGTTTTTTGGTTTTTTGGTTT